TTTGGCGGGTCCGGGCTGGGGATTCGAACCCGCCACCTTAGGTGTACGTGGCTGGCGCCTTAGCCGGTTGAGCTATAGGCGCCGAGCCTAGATGAAACTCTTAATGAAGCCTGAGTCACTTAATTCCCCCCTCCCTATGTGGGTGCAAACATGGCATGAAGAGTTAAGGGTGAATGAAATTTAGTGCAGGACTCATTAAGCAGTTTTAGTGTGAAGATAGGAGCCCACCAATGGCTTCTTTGTCTGTTCAGCCCTCTCTAGGAAGAAAGATATGCTGGACCCCATTCATTTGGCTGCCTCACTGTCCCCTTGTCCCTGCAGATCAGGTGGATGCCTTGCTGGGGAACTTTCTGCCTTGCTACCGTGGGCAACTGGCAGCCTCCATCCTGTGGCACATCTCCCAAGAGCTGGGTCCCCAGGAGCCGGCTGGATGCCAGCTGTTGCGCAGCAAAGTGGGTGCCTCAGGGGTGGGGGCTGAGTGTGTAGGGCTGCGGGAGCACTCAGTGGGGAGCTTCTGATCTTGGGCCTTTGCTCTTGCCTTGGAGTGACTTTGAATATTAATTCTTTGGATAAACATTCACTGAGCATCTAATTTATGTCACATGGCAGGCGGGGCATTGAGGATACAGCAGTGTCGGAGATAGAACCTCCAGGGTTCCCAGACTGATGGGAGATAGAAGAACCCAAACAACAATAATAAAAAAAAGTTAAAAAAAAATAAAACAGGGCTCGGCGCCTGTGGCTTAAGTGGCTAAGGCTCCAGCCACATACACCTAAGGTGGTGGGTTCAAATCCAGCCCGGGCATGCCAAACAAGAATGACGGCTGCAACCAAGAAATAGCCAGGCATTGTGGTGGGCACCTGTGGCCCAGCTACTTGGGAGGCTGAGGCAGAAGACTCGCTTGAGCCCAGGAGTTGGAGGTTGCTGTGAGCTGTGATGCCACAGCACTCTACCCAGGGGGGTAGCTTGAGGCTCTCTCTCAAAAAAAAAAAATAATAATAATAAAGTGGCTGAATTAAGACTTCCACATCTGGCTTGGTGCTCATAGCACAGTGGTTACAGTGCCTGCCACATACAC